TATTTCCAATGGAGACCGCCTATTTCCCATGGGCTGCAATGTTGTTGTTGTTGTTGTAGCGGCACTACTAAGCCCCGCCTATTTCGGGTCTACGTTCAATCATTGTCGTCAAGCTCAACTAACGGGAGGCCCAGGAAACGAGCTGTTTCGATGGGTTCGGACCAGAGGGAGAGGGGTGTTAGTTGAGTCGGATTGAGCTGGCATGTAAAGAGGTGGTTGGTGTCGTGGGGGTGATTCTCCACATGCCGGGCACTCATTGGGGATATTGGGGTCGAGTCTGGACAGGTAGCTGTTAAGGCGGCTACAGTATCCAGACCGTAATTGAGCCAGGGTAACGCGGGTCTCTCGTGGCAGTTGAAGCTCCGTCTCTTCTACAGGTGGTGATTGGGCTCGTATTACGGCATTCATAGGTCGAGAGTCGAGGTAGGTAGTAACTGACTCTCTATGAATGTCGTTGATGGCTCGTCTGTAAGTCGTCGGGTCCAATCGTTGGTCTACGTACTGTTGGACTGCGTCCTTGTACACGAATAGGTGCCCCCTGACGTGCCTGGGCGGAGGCTCCACCTGAAGCAACGGTATGTTAGGGTGTTCACTTCTGTGACACCCCACCAGAAATTGCTTACAGAGCATTTTGTTGTGTTCCCTAACGGGGAGCACTTGGGCCTCGCTGTGCAGGTGGTGCTCAGGCGTCAACAGAAGGCACCCAGTCGCTGTCCGGAGTGCGGCGTTCTGACAAGTCTGTAGCTTCGTCCACTGCGTCCAACTAGTCCCCGGCGTCCAAACTGGCGCAGCATAGTTTAGAACCGGCCGGCCAATTGCCTTGTATGTTGCCAGCAACGTGACCTCCTTCGTCCAGGTGGTGAAGAGGGTCGCCGTGGATTTCGTTGGGGAGAGTGTTAGGCTCCTTGCAGTGAAGAAGCGAGAAAGGCTGGAGAGATAGTCGTTCACTTTTGAGCAGAGGTCATCAATTCCATTCCCGGACGCCAAAATCGAGCAATCGTCAGCGTATGAGATCAGGGAAACTCCCTCAGGTGGTTGAGGAAGTTTCGAGATGTAGAAGTTAAATAGCAAGGGGGAGAGAACACCACCTTGTGGAACCCCTTGTTTAATCCTTCTTGGTTTCGAGGTTTGATCTCTGACGACTGTCGACCACTCATATAATTCGCCGACCATCGCTTCAGTCCCTGTGGGAGTGAGGAGGCCTCGATGTCTTCTAATAGCGTGGAATGGCAGACGGTGTCAAACGCCTTTGACAAGTCCAGCGCTACTAAGACCGTTCTCTCACAGGGGCGGTTTCGATTTAGGCCACGAGTTATTTGTGTGTTTATGGCGTTAAGTGCTGTTGTTGTGCTGTGCACTTTACGGAATCAGTGCTGGTGCTTAGCTTGGGTCAGGTGGCAAGTGCAGTATGGGAGTAGCAGGGCCTCAAGCGTCTTCGCGACCGGGGAAAGGGGCGTTATCGGACGATAAGAGTCTCCTTTGTTGGCGGGCTTCCCCGGTTTCAGCAGTGGGACCACTCTCCCTGATTTCCACACATCAGGAATGATGAGAGTGGCCATGGACAGGTTGAGGACCTCCGTTAGGTAAGCTACTCCCTTAGGCCCTAAATGTTTTAGCATCAGCATACAGATTCCGTCGGGTCCAATTGCTTTGGAGGCTTTCGCCTTCCCGATGGCCCCCTTCACTTCACAGCTGGTAAAACAAGTGGTGCACTGTTTTTTGGCAGCTTGTGCAGCCTCCTGGTCACTCGTCGTTTGGTCTTGTCTACCGAAGGGTGCAGTGTGAATTGCCTACTAAAGTAGGCTGCGCATTTCTTCTGGGCCGACGAAGCGCGACCTTCGAAAGAGCGCTTATTGCTTGACATCTATTGCAGGCAATTCAATAGTTTGACAGCCATATTTTCATTTGAAAGAAAGCGTTATGATTACGTTTTAGGAAATTATTCAGCAAGTTTTTTTTTAAGATTTAAATGTTTTTAAACACCGAAATTGAGAGAATATTGTCTGGTGGCGTAATGCAACAAATGCTTATTTCAAGACATCAAAGTGCCCACACACAAAAACTTCCAATTATATTGATCGACAAAATAACAGTTGGTAGACCATCGGTGTAAAGTTACGCCATTTTTTCTTGAATGACATTCTGCTGTACTAGTGTGGAGACAAAAATAACATATCAGCTGTTCTAGTACCACTTTATTGCATAAATGCACATTGTTGCAAACCTTCCAATCTCACTCGTTACACCTCAACGAGCTGTCCCTTCTTACAGTATACCGTTCTTTGAAAAAGAGCAAATATACTGTCAAGGCGAATTTTTACAAGGCGGTGTTACTGGCGAATTTAGATTTTCGCCACGGTACTACTGAATGTCAAAATGATGATTTTGTTGTAATATGAATTCGCCTTGCTTACAACAAACACATCATTTTGACATTCAGTAGTACCGCGGCGAAAATCTAAATTCGCCTTGTATACGATTTGCACCCTTCCTTAATTACACGTTCTCTATGGCTGCGTTTCTTTATACATTCCGGATAATCCCATTTCACAGCCGGAATAAACAGAATGCCTTTGAAATATACGTTAACATATCACCAGGAACGTTATAAAGAATAAGTAAACAAAAAAGTTTATTCCAAACGTTCAGAATCAATAAAGAAATGCAGCCTATATTTACCATGATTCAATAATACAAGGTTGGATAAGCTGGCAGTTGTCTCGCTCCCGCATTCTGCCTTAGCCTGTGTCGCCTTCTTTTTTGATTTATAGAAACTACTACTAAAATACAAGGAAAAATATTGTCTTCGTATAAAAAGTTCAACAGGCAACACTGCCGATATATTTATCGATTGTTTCGTGGAAATTCATTTTCTTATTGGGCAAATTCAAGTAAGTATGGCAAAAAAATCAAAAATAATAGAAATATTTTGAATTACAACAGTAATTTACATATTTATTTGCAGGGTATCGGAGTTATTCAAATTTGTATTCAAAAAGTTGCGTTTTACAACAAGTGCCGGCTGCACTAAGTAAGTATGTAAGTTTTGCATGCTAGGATCCCTGCGTGTCCGTCCATATATGGCTGGTGCAGAAAGTACAAGTATTAATAAATATATTCTCTTGTGACGGTCAGGATCATTTGGGTGTCCGTCCACGTTTGCTGGTGCATGTATTTTACCCCTGCAGCCTTTGGGTTGGTCAAATTTACAAGTAACTATACCACTCCATAAAAGCGAAAGTGAAAATATTAATAAAGATATATTCTTGTTCTGATTGTGACTGATTGCAGAAAAAAGTACACACCATTACAAAAAATTAACATTTTTAAAAAACGAAATGTAATTAAATACCGATATTGAAGACATATTTTTAAAGTTTAACCGATATAATGATTAACAAGACCGATTGGAGAAAAAAGTAAAAAACATTACTAAAAAATTTTAATTAAAAAAAAAAACAAATGTAATTCAATTTATACTATGTCTCCATTGAGAGATTTATCCATTATGATTTAATAAATACAGTTGCTAAATCACAACCGTCTCCATTACCATTACGAGATATGTTTGACGTTCACATTTTTAAATATTTGACGTTTGCTTATGTATGATTTTACAAATACAGTTGCGGACATTGATATACAGACAGATAAAAGGAAGGTACCAAGCGGAATTTCATTATATGAATTCTGAATATTATTGGCTTCTTGTTCGTGGTAAAAATGTATGTATAATATATAGTTTGGAAAGTGTAAAGAATGGTACCATATTCCGAATCATTTTCCCGAATTTAAGAAAAATTATCAAAACGGTAAAAAACATTTGAGGAAAGAAACATTTTTGTATAACTCTCTTATTCATAGGCGGGAACCGAAAATCCAATCGTGGGCCTTTGGCATATCATGAATACGAACTGAGTTCTAGAGGATGTTCGGTGCAATGTTATCGAAGCAGAACCATTACCGAAATTTATAAATTTTTTGTCGCAGCGCGTAAATGACTTATAGAAAGCGGAGAAGACTCTGCATGATATTACTATAAAACATTTCTTCTAAATTTTTAGTTTTTAAAATAATATTTTCTTAATTTATTACAACCAAAGTTATGTAAATATGTATTACTAATTTTCCTCCCAAACTAACAAAAAAATATAAAAATCCCTAAAAATACGAAAATTCATGTTTTTATGATAGGCTAGATTTCAATGTCCTCAACTGTATATTGAAAACACAAATGTCATTTGACTTATGGCATGTGAATTTGTGGTTGCCACATCCCACAATCTATACTTATTGATCAATATTATTGAAGATTTGACGGAGATTTAACTTAAATCTACTGCCTTTCGAGATTTAATTTTATATGATAAATCTCAAAAGCTTTAACGTCAAATCTCGTCAGAGGGCTAAATCTTCATTAAATCTCACAATGGAGACATAGTATTAAGATATTTCAATGAAACCATGGTTTATTTTGAATATTTGGGAATACTTCTTCAAAGATTTCAAAGATTTTTCTTTGGCAAGAATTTAATGTGAATATCCATTTATTTCATTTTTAATATTTATGTGGCTATAAAAAGTTAATTCATTGTCTATTGTTTAGATCAGTGGAATCTTCTTATATATTTAATTTAATTTGTATACAAAAACGTATTTCAGCACTACCAAACTACTTACTTTTCCTACTACCTTTTCACAAAAGGATATCAATTAGTTACCCGCTTCTCTTTCCTTCACAAATGCAACCTTACAAGGCATTCGATTGACACAAATGTCAATATTTATCCAACCTTGTATATTTACGTTCTTTGTCCTAGGATTGTGTGAACGTCTACATAGTTTGGATAGTGAACACAGTCAATTTCAACCCTGTGTCGGCAAGTTTTGACGAAAGTAGCTGAAGAAAGAAGAAAGAGGATCACCCTATACTTCCGGTAGTGCATTCCAGTGACGTCCGGTAGTGTATTCCAGTGGAAGTTTTGTGATCTATCCCTGTTCTGACATTCATTCATTTAGTTGAGTTCTGTTTGGCATGTCGTCCGGGTGGTGTTTTTATCGTAATTTTTTACTAACGCATAAAAAGTAGAGAATTGTGGGGCGCGCTTCTGTTTTATCATTTCTACAGTATTTTTAATAATTGGTTTTGCTCCTATTATGTTGGAATATACCGCGGAGTGTAAAGAGTAACTTCTTCATAAAATATAGTCGAGAAAGTGCATACCTACGCTACTGAAAATCGGATTCGGGTGGTGGCTGTGGTGACGGAAGCAGAAGTAATAGCAATAGCAAAATCCGAAAAAGTAGACAAGTAAAGAGAATAAGAAAAACCCAAAAAAAGGGGAACGGCAAACTGGTCAAGTGCAAAAGCGTTGTTGCTGGCCTGCCGCCTTGGAGTAGCACTTGGCAAGTGTGCGTCTTCACCCATCAGCTAGAGGTAGTGCATTGGAATCGAATGTGAATGTTGCGGGACGAGCTACGGTTAGTACACTTTGTACATTAATGCAAACAATCCAAACGGTTTTATAATATAGAAAATAAATTCGAAAGTTACGTTTTTATTTAGCCTAATAAATAACTTAAATTTCTCAAAAAATGGGAATATACATGTATGTATGTACATATGTGGCTTTCCATCTCTTGTTTTTTATACAAACCATGTATACGAATTATCTTTAATATTAAACGAGAGATATCTTGGTATGTATTAGGTTACAATAGGTCTGTCGCGAAGTTAATGTTGGACATAATTTTCCATAATATACACAATTTTCATGAATGAACTAATGCGTCACGTTCGAAAGAATTTGGGTGTGTCGGCGATAGAATTGCATACCACAAACAATACATATATTTAATAGCCAATTTTATTATTTTTCGTCGTTAAGTATATGAATATTTATACTTAATATGTACATGCAAATGAGTATTCGTTTCCAGGTTATCCAAAGATATATGCTTCATTTTACTCATTTCTTTATTGCTATCTTTTCGCCTGGTTGTTGTTGTTGTTGTAGCGGCTACAACAGCGGCCTGGTTCGATTATTTTACAGCCCTCCATAATTTATTCCTTACTGGTAACCTCTCGTTTAATTCTTTTGTTGTATGCTGTTTCTGGTTGTTTACCTTGATATTTGTGTCAAGCGCTGCCAACCGAAGCAACAAATGTGCCCTCTGTAGATGAGCTTGGCCAATCGTATGTACAAACGTATTATATTTACGGGTTTTGTTTGGATTTTGCTTTTATCCACTTATTAAAACCGGTGACCAATAGTTATTAGCAGGGTTCGTATTTGCACACACATGTGCAGCACATCCTAACATTTTACGCTCACATACGTGTGCTGTGCATATAAAAAATTAAAAACTTGCTCCCCACCAAACAATTTGTGTTGCCGGCAATAAGAAAACGTGTCGCCCTCGGAAACAAATTTATTGCCGGTAATATTGCCATCGAATCGATTTCCTATTACCGGTCGCTCTAAAACGTCCGCCGAAGGCAACTCGCCTGGGTGAGTCGTTTTCTTATTACCTGAATGAGTCCGTTTGTTATCGCTTCAGGCGATATTTGGAATAATNATTGAATTGTCTTTCAAAAAATAACGTTTAATAAACAAATTCTTTTAAGAATATATTATGTGCATGTGCATGGGCTGAAATTTGTACAAAAATCGGCCCACACACATGTGCATGTGCTTAATAACAACCCAGTGGGAATTAAGGCCCGTTTACATACAACTTTGGCGTTGCGTTGGCGTTGGCGTCGCTTCGACAGCTGACTATGATTACATGCATTTATATGAAAGTCTCCACATAACCAAAGTTGGGCAACGCCAACGCCAACACAACGCAGAAAGATGACCAACTCTCAACTTTTAGCGCGCGTCATTCGTCAGCTGTTCCAAATAATCAAAATTATGTGATTCAATTTTCATTTTTAATCAAATGCGGGCAAGAAATATATTTTTTAATGCAATTATTGATGTAAAATTTTGGTTTTTGGTGCCGCTAGTATGTTAATTTAGTGACCAAAGTATTCTTGCTAAGCGTTCATTGTAGCAAGCACGGGCGTTACTCGCGCTGCTGTCAAAGCGACGCCAGCGCCGACGCAACGCCAAAGTTGTATGTGGACGGGCCTTTAGGAGCACGTAATAATACCTTACTAGAGTGCCAGTTACTGTCGAAATTCGACAGTTTTTCTAGTTTTAGAAGCCTTGGAGAGGTTTTCTAACTTAACACGTAGCAAAACTTATACGAACGTAACTAAATTTTTTTTTATCTGAGGTCTTTGGAGAACTTCGGCAGGACTTGGAATTGACCCGATACATTCAAGTTTATCGATAAATTTCAATGATTTGATACATATCGATAGTTCGATGAATTTCAAGAACACTACAATTCGATAACTCAACAAAATTCTTTAGCTCGACTAATTTCGATAACTGTGAAATTCGATGGCTCGATAAATTTCGATAACTCAAGAATGTAAAAACTTTGGATACCTTTATAAATTTTTACTTTTGATATCCACTTTTTTCGAAAACTATATAAACATTTTGATAACTCGTTACACTCTGTTAAGACGATTAAATTCGATAATTTCGATAAATCGATATATCTTGAAAATTCCATAAACTTCGCTTCGTTGAACCAACCAATTTCAGTAGATCAATAATTATCGATAACTCTGTAAGTTGAAAGAACTCCATGCATTACGACACCTCGATAAATTTCGTTAAGTCTATAAATAATGATAATTCAATAAATATCGATAACTTGATACATTTCTTTAACTTGACAAATTTCGTTAATCCCACACGTTTTTATAGCTCGATAACTATCCGTAAATTTGGACAACTAAGTTTCTGTGTCTATAAATTTCGACAACTCAGTAAACATTGATCAGTTTGAATAATTCGATACGTTGCGATAACTTAATAAGCATGTATAAATTTCGATAATTATAAACTTCGATGATTCGATAAATTTCAGTAACCTTTATGGCTGATTTTATTTCGATTCCTATCGGAAAATTTCAACTCTGTTAACCCAATTTTTATGTATTTCTCATTGTCCCCATTTTCGCCTTTACCTCAATTTTCATCTTTATCTTCACTTTTGCCTTTTTTTGTCTTCATCGTTATCACTTGTGACTTCATTTTCATATTTATCTCTATTTCAAAGTTTAATTTCAAATACGAAGTAAAACAAAATGCTAAACAGCTTTTTAAACGACGATTTTCAACCAATTTCGAAACTATAAAAACTCTCCTCATCTACAGAAAATTACCTTTCCAATGGTGTTTTTGGTTTTGAAATCGGTAACTTTACCTTGGTCTTCATCTTTGTTTTTATCTTTCACATCTTTGCTTTTATCCTTTTCTTTTTTCACGTAGATGAGATGAGGTGCGATGACGTGATAACTCAACTCGATGATTGGATAAATTTCAGTAACCTTTATGGCTGATTTTATTTCGATTCCTATCGGAAAATTTCAACTCTGTTAACCTAATTCTTATGTATTTCTCATTGTCCCCATTTTCGCCTTTACCTCAATTTTCATCCTTATCTTCACTTTTGCCTTTTTTTGTCTTCATCGTTATCACTTGTGACTTCATTTTCATATTTATCTCTATTTCAAAGTTTAATTTCAAATACGAAGTAAAACAAAATGCTAAACAGCTTAAATTGAACAGGTTGCAAAAAGAAACCATACACAAATATGGAAATTTTTAAACGACGATTTTCAACCAATTTAGAAACTATAAAAACTCTCCTCGTCTACAGAAAATTACCTTTCCAATGGTATTTTTGGTTTTAAAATCGGTAACTTTACCTTGGTCTTCATCTTTGTTTTTATCTTTCACATCTTTGCTTTTATCCTTTTCTTTTTTTAAAACCCTTACTAAGTAGAAGTAAATAATTCATATTAGAAAAAACGAAATTATCCATATGCACACTTTCGTTAGAAAACCGAAATAATGCATATAACAAAAACCGAAATAATGCATGCATGCACAATTTCAGTTCAAAACCGAAATAATGCATATGGCAAAAACCGAAATAAAGCATACATGCACAGTTTCGGATGAAAACCGAAATAATGCATATGTGAAAGACGAAGGTATGCATACATGCACAGTTTCGGTTGAAAACCGAAATAATGCATATAACAAAAACCGAAATAATGCATGCATGCACAGTTTCGGTTGAAAACCGAAATAATGCATATGAAAAACCCGAAGTAATGCATACATGCACAGTTTCGGTTGAAAACCGAAATAATGCATATGAGAAAATACCGAAATTATGCATATGCATACTTTCGTTTTAAAAGCGAAATAATGCATATGAAAAAACCCGAAGTAATGCATACATGCACAGTTTCGGTTTAAAACCGAAATAATGCATATGGTAAAAACCGAAATAAAGCATACATGCACAGTTTCGGTTGAAACCGAAATAATGTCTAAATGCACAGTTTCCATATGCGCAATTTCGGTGCCCC